AAACCAGTCTAGGGCCCCAGGGAGAAGCCCAGGCTGGGGGTGTAAGGCAGGGCTGGAGGCACACGTTCAGGAGACAGCAGCACGTAATGGCATCGGAAGAGAGATGCCAGCTTCAACTCCGACTATCACTATGTCCTGCTCCCTCTCGGTTCCCCGCATCAGCACCCGGATGGGTTCCCGGCAGGACCAGGCTCACAAGAGCACAAGATCAGGGGCTGCGCTAGCACATGTTCAGAGGAGAATGATCGGAGAAGGGAAGTAAGAGAGGGAGGCTCTAACCAGGAGTAAATGTGCCCAGGGCGGCACTGGCCCAGGACGGGGATTTGGATAACAGCCGTGGAACAGGGCCGGCCGCTGCTCCGCCATGCCCTCGGAGCGCCTTCCCTATTCTGGTGCCCGAGCTCGAGGGCACACTTTGCCAGCCACGTCCTGGTCTGGGGCAGTGAGCTCCTGTCAGCAGACACAACCTTTCTTTGGGCGTGCGCCCAGGAAACATCTTCTTGAAAGCCTCAGAGGGAAAGTCAATGAGAGGATGGAAAATGCATTGTTGAGGAGGGACCCCAGCCCTCTGGATCCAGGCTCCTGGCTGGGTGGGTGGGTGGCTCAGATTTTCAGGAAAGAGCCGGGAAACTCTCCAACATGCTACAAGAGAGGACCAGGGAAGACCAAGGTGGCCACGTGGCCACATAACCCTCTTACAATGGGCTGGCATAATCAGATAACACAGATCAGGGCTGCCCTCTGGGCCACCACAGCCCCAAATTCTTAAGAGCCCGCAGCCCCCGGGTCGTGGAGACTTTTCCACTCCGAGTGGAGGGGTCCCAGGACCTGCACCCCCCTATCTAGGGTGATCCCCAGGCTCCTGGGAGTATAAAAGTAGCCCTTCCTCTCTCTAAAGTCAGAGATGGCTGGCATAAATTGTCAGCACGCAGTCCAAAGAATCAGAGCTGTGTGCATATTGTCTCTCCAGCACAAAGATTCCCACATCCCCGCAGGGCAACATAAAATGGGGGTTGCATGGAAAAGGGGCCAGGCCAGTGGCCATTTCTGTCCACTGTGCCCATGCCACAGGGCGTCGTCTCCAGCGCGGTGCACGCCGATGGCGCAGCACGAATCTAAAAACACTCATCTCTTTCCCATGCTTTAAATTTGTTACGTTTCCACGAATCTTTTGTAGCAATGCCGCATATTAGTACAGGAGCACACCTGTGCACAATTTCTACTAAAATGATTCCACTTACTACTTTTGAACTAACGAGGGGCTAGATCAGAAGTCATCCAAAGACCCACAACTTGAGAGAAGAAAGGCTGGGGCCAGTGGTGGAGAAGGGGCATCTTGTCAGGGCTTCCTGAGTGTTAGTCTGGTTCAATAATTAAGTTGCAGCCCCTTGAAATAAGGGCCGTGTTATACGCGGGTGCTCGGCAGAAAGATGTAGAACGCGGGTGCTCGGCAGAAAGATGTAGAAATGGACGCAGAAATGGATCAGAAATGTACAAGTTCTTTCTCAACTGGACAGAAGCTAATAGTGACTAAGTTCTACACACACACACACACACACACACACACACACACACACTACTCTCTCCATCTACACACATACCTCTATATACACATATTATTCATGTTATATGTAGCATGTATGCATATATATATACAATATATGCATATGTGGTTAGTAATATTAGTATTATTTAAAATTTTTTTAATGTTTATATCTTTTGAGACAGAGAAAGAGAGAGAGAGCAGGGGAGGGGCAGAGAGAGAGGCAGAGGAGAATTCCAAGCAGCCTCCACACTGCCAGCACAGAGCCCGAAGTGGGCTTGAACTCACGAACCACGAGACAAACTCATGACCTGAGCTGAAATCTCGGACGCTGAACCGACTGAGTCCCCCAGGGGCCCCAAGTAATATTAAATTCATAATATTCTTGTTCACACTGCCATCTCTTCTGAGATAGCCAATGTTCGTGCTTGCTGTAGGTAGAACTTTCCACCCTATAATCCTTTCAGGAAGAAACATAAAACTACGCGCATTTACATATTTACAGATGCGTACAGGCTGGCTGTTTTAAAAAAATACGGACGCTACCTTAATTTCACGTTGCTCCCCAATATGTTTTGTTTTTTTGTTTTTTTTAATTTTTTTTTTCAACGTTTATTTATTTTTGGGACAGAGAGACACAGAGCATGAATGGGGGAGGGGCAGAGAGAGAGAGGGAGACACAGAATTGGAAACAGGCTCCAGGCTCTGAGCCATCAGCCCAGAGCCCGACGCGGGGCTCGAACTCACGGACCGCAAGATCCTGACCTGGCTGAAGTCAGACACTTAACCGACTGCACCACCCAGGCGCCCCTGTTTTGTTTTCCACTTAACGGCACATCACACGTACCCCTCAAGTCAGCAGAGATGTATCCGGTCCGTCCCTCCCACCTCCCGCATCATAGTTTACAGTTTGTGTGCAGCTCAACTCAGGCCACCATTGCTCCGTTAATGCACATTTGGGTTGCTTCCAACGTTTCGCCACAATAATTAACGCCCTGATAAATACTCTTGTATGTATATATCAGGTCAGAGTGGTGTTTTTACTGCTGTGAGACAGATTCCCCTAAGTGAGACATATTACCGGAGGGAACAGAACAATCCGAGGCAATGCAGGACGCCATTAGGCTGCATGAATGACTTTTTTTTTTTTAAATTCCAGTTACGCCGCCTCATATTCAATGGAGCCAGACAGTGCCCCGTGTTGAGTGCGTCTTCTCACTGTGTTTCTTTTGCACTCGGCAGTCACCATCCCGGGCTTGGCAGCCTAAAGGGTGTGTCGAGAGTGGCTTGACTAGGCCGGCCAGAGGAGAGCCTACCCGGCCTCTTTCAGGGCCGGCCACTTCGTGGTGAGGGCACCTGGTCAGAGCAGGAAGTGAGCGTTCAAAGAGACAAAAGACTGGGGTGCTCAGTGGGTTAAGCGCCTGACTCCTGGTTTCGGCTCAGGTCATGATCTCATGGTTTGTGAGTTTGAGCCCCGCATCGGGCTCTGTGCTGACAGTGCAGGGCTTACTTGGGATTCTCTCTCTCTCCCTCTCTCTCTGCCCCTCCCCTGCTCACACTCTCTGTCTCACAAAATAAATAAATAAACTTAAAAAAAAAAAGGGACGGAAGACCTCACAACTGTCTCTCACTTTGCTGTGTCTCCAAGCAGCCATACGAAGTGGCCTTTGCCAGGTGCAGGGTATGACCCCGCCCAGCTTCCCCAGGTAAGAAAACCCATATGGTGTTTGGGCTGCCTTGCCAGGATAGCAGAGGGCACCCTTTTGTCCTTCTCCAGCCCTCAGAGGGACAAGCATCCCTCATGGAGCAAGGGCACCCACAGCCTGGAAGCCTGAAGCTCACAAGCTCCTCGGTCAGCCTCTGCTCGCCGCTTCCCGTGGCGATTTGCTCACAGATGGGGTTTGTGGATGTGGAGGCGAAGACGTCTGTGTTGCTCACAACCTTGCAAGTGTCTTAGGTCCAAAACGACTCCACCCATTACCATCTCCCACGGTCCTTATGCAGCCTGTGCCCACAGCAGGTTTTTAGCGATTGGTTTGTAAATGAGCAAGTAAGTCAATGACTCTGGGCCCCCGGTCAGGCTTTAAGGACCAGAGTCACTGGGGCACAGTCCTCAGGGGACCTCTGAGGCTCTGCCCCGCCTACCTTCACGGCTTTCGCTCTGTTGATGAGCCCGTCATCTTGAGAACTCCCAATTAGCAGATCGACCTTTGTCCGCGGAGACCTCTGCAGTGCCCTGGCTGGAGCCTCGCGGAGGTACTGGCCATCAACCACAGGACCCCAGTAGTGGAAAGGGCCACTCACGGCCAGGAGCTACATTGGGTGCAAAGGGAGGCCATTATGTGTATGGATTTTATCCTTTCTTTAAAAAAATGGTTCTAGAAGAATCAGTTGCATTGCTTCGCTTGGTCGGGTTTTAACCATAATGGACGCTGACGCTGGCTATCCATAGTCCGGGGCCGTGTGGGGAAATCGGAGGAAAATGACAAGAACAAGTAGGAAGGACGCTGGGCCACAGGCAACAGGAAGGCAAGTATCGCTCTGAGCGATGGTTGGTCCGCAGGGAGCTGCCCAGGGTTTCCGTGCCACGGTGAGGACGGATCCACAGGGAGGAATGGGCAAGCCTGAGCCCGTAGGTGTGTGTGAGGGAGGCAGGACACCGACTGAGGGACGGGCGGTGGCCAGAGACAGGACCCAAAAGGGAAATTCATCAGCTCTAGCCGCTGTCTCACTAGCCCGCGCCCGGGGGAGCTGGGGGTCAGACCTGCTCCGGGTCGGTGGGTCCGGGCCCAAAGCTGAAGGAATCAAGCCCTTGGCTGAGGTGATAATAGTGTTTCCTGCTACTGTCCCCTTCATCAATGTCAGGGACAGCCCGAGACTGTGGTCTGGAAGCAGGGTCTTCTGAGTCTGGAAAGGGGAGCGCACAGCTGTCCTATCTAAGAGGATGGGCTGGCCCCGATCCACTGCAGCTGTGACCACAGTGCTTAATCCGTGTGGCTGTCACCTGACACCGTGCCACCACGGTCCCGGCACAAGTGAGACCCTTTGCACGTGTCACTTCATTTTATCTTCCCAGTGTATAAAGCCCCTATTGTATTTTGTATTTATATCTTACAGATTAAATCCAGTGTGCAGCCAGTTCTGTCCACCTTCCGTGCCCATGTTTGGTCCATCACATACTGGGCCCGGGCACAGTGCTGGGGTCAGGAATGTGCATTCCAGTTCCGGCTGGTCATCAACCTACCGCGTGGCCTTGGGTGGGTCAGGTGTCCCTTCTAGGCCTGGTTTTCCACTTGTAAAAGATTAGAGAGTGTCCCTCCCCAATGTGCATACAGGTGCCCACCTTGGTCTGGGCGTCATTAAGGACGCTCGCAGGCTTCTGGCGGAGGCAGGACACCATGTCTTGGATGGACGAGGGGGGGCAGCCGACCTCCTCTGCCAAAGCAGCTGCCTGCTGCCGAGCCCTCTCCTGGCTGATGACAGCAGCTGGGGAGAACGCGGAGCCACCCTGGAAGAGAAGGCAGACTCAGGACACGTAGTCTAGATGTTCTCCCTCCCACCCCAGCTCGGCCCGAGACCTCAGGGCCACATCAGGGCTCTGTATCTTTCATCCACACTTGGAAGCCCCAGGACCCTTCCCATGGATGTCCACAGGCATTTGGGAGGTCAGGGCGGATCAATATCGTATCAACATGCTGTGTGATCACGAACGAGTGTCTCTCCGGGCCTCAGTTTCCTCACCTGTGAAGTGCGGGCACTGGACAGAGTGATCCACTGAGTAAATTTGTCTATTAAGGCCAAGGGCCAATGGTGGTTGAACAGGGACAAGGACCAGAACTGTCCTGTGCGAAGAGAACTGTGGGGCCACGCCCTGCCCCACCTCCCAGGTCTCCTTAAATAGCATGTTTCCTGGCTCAGTGAAGATGGACTTAGACTTTGAAATAGATGCCCACCTAGAAGGTGATGGAAACAGAGTCACTGTACAAGTGAGTCGTGCCTGCAGAGTTAGTGCAAATGTGTCAGACGCCGGCTTGCTGGGAACATTTCCCTTCTAGGAACACGGCTGGTGGCAATGGCAGGAGGTCCATCCGCCCTGCCTGGACGGTTGGCGGGACCGGTCATCCGCCCAGGGCGGAAGAGGTGGGCTGAGTGCCTCGACTGGGGTGCAGCCACAGGGCCCTTCGTCTGTGGTCGAGCACTCCGATTCTTTTTTTTTTATTTTTTTTTTTTTAAATTTTTTTTTTTCAACGTTTATTTATTTTTGGGACAGAGACAGAGCATGAACGGGGGAGGGGCAGAGAGAGAGAGGGAGACACAGAATCAGAAACAGGCTCCAGGCTCTGAGCCATCAGCCATCAGCCCAGAGCCTGACGCGGGGCTCGAACTCCCGGACCGCGAGATCGTGACCTGGTTGAAGTCGGACGCTTAACCGACTGCGCCACCCAGGCGCCCCGAGCACTCCGATTCTTAAGAGCTTCCCCCGCTTTATCTCGTGAATCCTCACAAGAGCTAGTAAGTTAGCTGCTGTTATTGTCCCCCTTGTCACAGATATGAAAACAGAGAAACAGGGAAATTCAGGAACTTGCCTAAAGCCACAAATGCTGTCAGGGGCCGAGCCAGCCCGCGGATCCAGGCAGCTGGGCTCCAGAGTGCGTTAGGCTCCGGGACCCCAGGCAGAGAGTTTCCAGTTCCCTGACCCAGCTCTGTACTGAGGGGCCTGGGCCAGCCACGTACTGGCTGCCTCCAGCCGTCTGCCAGGTACCAACCCTCCTGGGAACTCTGTGTGCCCGTCTCACGCAACCTCTGCAACACTAATATGAGGTAGGTACGACTGGCAGTCCCATTTTGCAGGTTAGCAAACCGAGGCTCCAAGAGGAAAGGGAAATTCTCATTCACTGAGCACCTAATATGTACCAGGAACCGGGAGCTTGGCAACAAAAACTAATAAGATAGCTAACGTTTACTAAGTATTTGCTGAATTTCGGGTAGAGTTGTGAGCACTTCATACATATTAACTGATTAAATCCTCTCCACAACCCCCAGAGGTAAAGGTTATTTACCCCTCTGTCTCAGAGAGGGGGGAAATCCAGGCACAGGAAGGTTCAGGATCTTGTCCAACATCACGCAGCTGGTGACCGGCAGAGCTAAGACCCCAGTCCAAGCAGCCCGCCTTGGCCGTGCTCTAACCCCCACCCCCCCACATTAGGCCGCACGTGTTTTTATATCCAGAACAAGATGCTGTGTTCTTCAGTCGAACCATACGTACCCTCTCACTCCAACGTAAAGACAACACTGATATGGCTGACTCCACAGAATACGTTTCCATTCTAGACCCTACCCTGGGCTAAAACGTCAGAAACTAAAATCAGCAGAAATGGAGAAATGGGTATACCGAGGCCGCCGCTGTCACTAGGTCTCTGAGAGGATGAATAAAGTAGTGCAGAGGAAGGCCTTCTGGAAGCTGGACAGCAAGGTGCCCGTGTGCACCTGAGTCATTGGTGCTGTTAGCCCTTGTGTAAAACAGACAATAGAGAGATGCCCAGAGGGGAGGAGACCCATCCTCTGGAGATCCCTGCTGGCCACAGTTCCTGAAATAACAGAGTGTGTTCCAGAACCGCCCCCAGGAGGTCCCAGGGGTCTCTATGCCTCACAGTCAGGACTGAAGGTCATGGGCAGAGCATGGGCATGGCAATGAGGCCAGGCCATCCCGCGGGTAGGGCTGGCAGCTGAGGGCAGCACTGGGTGGGGCAGACACCCAGAGGGCGGGGAGAGGGCGGGGGGCCGGGACTGGTTCTGGCCGCCAGGAGGGTTGAGGCTCTGCGTCTCAGAAGCCAAATGCGGTCTGACGCAGCTGAACACGGTCCCCAGCCTGCTGCCAACTCCACATGGTGACTTCACAAGTCACCCAGCACCTCTCCCTCCCGAGTAACATGGCTGCGGTGGTATCGGCACCACGTGCGCCCCCCCGAGGGTAAGAATCAGAAGGGCGAACCCTGGTGGAGTGTGTGCCCGTACGCGATGGAATGTTCCTCGCGTGTCCTCAGCATTTTACGCATATTAGTTGGTGCCTCACAACCATTGCATGAGGCGGATGATATTATCGTCTCCTTTTATGGATGATATTATCGTCTCCTTTTATGCGCGGGACGCAGAGAGGCAAACGACTTGGTCAGGGTCACAGGACTGGGTGGAGACGGACGCGGAATCTAAATGCAGGCAGTCAGGCTCCGTGGCCAAGCCTTCAGCCACCCGGTCAGCCTTTCACATACACCTGGCAGCTTCTTGATGGAAGGTGGAGACATTACTACTTTACTTAGTTGTCCAGACCGAGGAGGAACCTCATGGCCAGAGTCAGGGGTGAGGCCAATTTCAACCCCAGCCCAGAGAGACGAGAGCCTGTAGGGTGTGGATCCTATCGGCAGCAACGTACCCTGGTCCCTGGGAGCCCTTTCGGACAGCTCCGGGTCGCTCAGAATGGGGCTGGCTGCTTGGTCCCCGCACTCAAGATAGGGAGGGGTCCTCTGCATTGGTTTTCTGTCCTCGACCCATTTAGGGAAGCTCAGAGGCTCTTGTCATCAGTGGGGTTTGCTACGAAACACACAAAGCAAGCTTCCTGCACCACTGATCTTCAGCCAGCAGCTTGCTCTGAGTTTCAGCATCGGTGACACACAGAGTCCGAACGCCTGAGCTCGTGGTGAGAATAAGTAGCCATGAAAGTCAAACAGCCGGGCAGCCCAGAGCCAGAACTCAACCACGGTGATAATACATAAGGGTCCAGATGACTTAGCCCACAGGTTTATCTCTTGAACGACAAGGGGTCCAGCTTTTCGGAGAGCCACCGGATCTGATTTGTCTTAAGAGAACACACACACACACACACACACACACACACACACGCTCAAGGTATAAAAGGTCAAAGACCCATGTTCTTTTTTTT